AATTTGGATACTGATAATTGTTATATGTAGTCGTTATACCCCCTCCAAAATATCTGACCAATTCCATTGGAGGTTTGAGATTACCGAAACTATCAAAATATTGTATAGCATTGCCGTTTTTAATGTAAGCTACCCAATGAGTGCCTGCATTCAATTGAGAATCCAAGTTCAATACAGCACATTCTCGCAGTCGAGGACCACGAGTTGGCAACGTGTCGCGCATAAAGACTCCACGAAAATTTAGAATTCTCATTTGACGGGCACATTTTTGAATTTCCAAATCGTATAATGCTCTATGGGGTAGCTTCAGTAGGAGTTTTTTTGCTTTTTCAAGTAAAGACCTCACCCTTTGCGTTCCTGTTGTTTCTTTAGGAACAGACCAAACCCTGGAGGTGTTTTGCGTAGGTACAAACCGGAACCTAAATGTTCCATAGCTTTATTGTGGCGTTGATCTTCTTCAAGTTTCTTTTTGGCATTTTTAGCATCTATTACGGTTTTTGCGATAGCGCCTGCTCCACCTGCCAACGAACCCAAAGCTGAAAGGGCAGCGAATATAGGTATGAGGGGAAGGATTCCTCCAGATTTTGCTTCGAATGGTATTATCCTAGGTATCCGTATGTTCTTACGTTCTCCAGCTTGACTAAATGCCATTTTAGTAGCTCGCAAAGCCGAAGCACTGGATTTCTTAATATTGGTAGGATGTGGCTTCCAATTTTTAGTAATTTTTTGAAGCATATTACGTCGAAAGGACAACCCCATGCCGAGCTTACGTTTCGCTTTCATTGTTGTAATTACGAGCTAAGCTGCAGCTTTTTCACCAAATCTAGCGTCTTTCGATTTAACGCGTTCCCAAGCTCTATTTTCCAACACATGATCTGCTTTATGACGGTCTTCTAATGAGTCGCTTTGGGAGTACGCGATATCGTGATCTTTACAATATTCGTCCAAAGGATTTACACCGGTGTCACCGCGTTCCAATCTCTTTTTCAATTTGGTGCCTGGTCCGCAAAACTGATAACCAGGTAGATGTAATTCGAACGGGAGCTTATTGATAAATAATCGAATTGACGACACCTGCACCGGAGTAAGTCAACATTGAGAATGATTGGGTGATGACTGTGATGTTTTCATTTATAACCGTAGCGCACTCATTATCCAGCATCACATCATGAAAGTCGTTCAACAAGACAAGACATTACCTATTGAAAATTTAGACTGTTTGAATGAAGTCAACAATAGTAGTGTAGTTAGGAAGCATGGTATATTATTACCCAATTGGTTTCGTGCAATAATTTGTGGGCCGAGTAGTTGTGGAAAGACAAACGCTATCTCAACATTGCTATTCCACCCGAATTTCGCCAAATTTGAAAATATCTACGTATATTCAAAATCATTGTATCAACCTAAATCACAAGTGGTTCAAGAAATTTTCAGTAAAGTCAAGGGGAAATGAGGATATCATAAGCCCTCACGAAGCCAAATCTAATTCCAAATTCATTTTCGATGATGTCGCATGTGATGTCCAACAGAAAATTCGCGAATATTATTCTGTATGTAGGCATAAGAACATTGACGCCTTTTTCAATTACTGTATTTTTGAATTAAAAATATAAAATTGTTCGAAATGGTCTGTCACGAAACTTTATGTGACAAACCAAATTCTAAGCAGACGATAGGGTACACATTAATTTTCAGACACACATCAATGTTTTTGGGTGGAAAAAAGGAATATTAATCAAATGATTAAGGGAGACTGATATTTTCTATCTTGAAGCGGACGAAGGCAATTGGGTTGGGAGGCAATGAGATGGGAGGACTATGAGATTATTGATGATTCAATTGAGAACGGTCTTTATGATAGATTATCAACGAACTCTGTGCATAAGATGACTTCAGAAGTGAAAAACACATTAGAGAAGTATCGCACCGGCTTTGAACTAGAATCTACAGGTTTATAATTCTACAGTTATTAAACTGTACGGTCTATCAAAAACCCACAAATTGGGCAAATCGGTGCGACCAATTGATTCTGCTATAAGTTGCCCTACTTACTGAAATTGCTCAACAGCTAGCCAAACAGTTTGGAACTTTCTCAATCTCACAATTGAGTTTGAGTTGAACTCACATCAATCCATAGATGTATCCCCGTTGTTTCGAAGTGTCTCCATACCAGAAACCACTGAATAATCAAGAGATCTTCTGACGTCGATGATCTCAGTGCAGAAGTACAACTAACGAAATCTGCAAGGAACACAATTGTTTCCATTTAAACAACTTCAGACAATGAATGGAGTTTTATCCCAATATCAAATCTTTATTTCAACACCTCGACACGTGTTCCGATCACTAAGTGATCATCTTCAAGGAGAAGATTAATCCTTTTCTTGAAAACACATCGACATGTGTTTAGATCATCAAGTGATCATCTTCAAGAGGAAGATTAATCTCTCTCTTGAATGCAAATATATTCAGACACCAAGGTTTTGCTTAGTATTAGTATTAGACTCTTTCTCTATTATCTTCTTTTCATATACTAGAATTTATAATTCCAGAAATTACTTCTCGACAACCTCTAGTCAGGCAAATTTTGAAATAACTTAATACCAATAGGGCGTCTGATGAAGTGCGCTTTATCGTACGTAAAAAGTTCTCAAATGAATTCGCACAAGTATTTCGCAGACTTTTCAACCTGCTTTACAAGGAAGTGGTTTTCTCTTCTTGTTGAAAGATTGCTGGTATTCAGCCTATTTCCAAGAAGGACAAGAAAAATCTTTCAAATAACTCTAGACAGTCACTATCAGTGATACCAAAAATCATAGAGTGTTACACATTTTATTTCCAGTTGTTTTTTTTGAATCAATAGCGTAGAATATATTACAATTCATACTCTAATTCAACTCGATTTGATCCTGACTATATAAATATTATTAATTATTGTTGCATTTATTCTTTATTGTCCAATATTGTTATGCTAATCTTGGTTACTCCAACGGGCTGATCAGTTACCTTGGCCATCTACGGTAGAATAGTAGCAGTCCATATTTCCTGCCGAGAACAGGTATTCGTAGGTAATCAAGGTGAAAAGTTTCCTGCATTAAGGGACCCAGCGCTATTGCCAAGTTCCGCTGATAATTTCCTCTGTTCTCTGAGGGCGTTTCCTTACTGGTTTTATTCTTCTTTTCCACGGTTATTATTCATTGTGAGTCATTGTTGTGTGGGATAATTAGGCTGACTTTGTTATATGAAACCTTCATTAACAGAAGTTGTACAATTGTTATAGAAATACATTCATTTATTGCTATTGCCATCTGGACAGTAATTCCGCAACTATTTCCTGTCAGCTGTTGCAGGAACTGTCTACTATCGATTTTTGAAATCGATTACCGATGTTTCTCCTTATTGTTTTTTTT